TTGAGTACGTTCTAGAAAATTCTTAGGTTTTCGAGAAAATTATAGGAAAATTCTCCGGTTTTCGAGAGAATTATAGGGATATCCTTAGCGGACCGAGTTGATAGTTAAACTCTCCATAATTTCCTGTGTTTGAGAGAAAATTGAGAGTCGGAGTGACGAGGCCAAAATAGTATATTTCGTAACGAGCTAAAAAACATTTTTTCACGAGTTACGAACAATATTTTTCATCACAATGTGGCGGAAATTGGACTTTTAGGCACGCGGAGCGTGCCGAAAAGTTCACTTTTCGTCACAGCGTGATGAAAATATAGTTTATGCAAACCGATCTCTTTTCGCAATCGCAATGTAGATGTGGGAGCCATCAAGTGATCTCCCCACTAACTACTCTTGGCGGGCAACCAATGAGATCACTGGATTCTCTTTGATCTCATTTGTTGAGCTCCATCATTGGCTCCCTTCGAGGTATCTCATTGGTTGCCCCCCAAGAGTAGTTAGTTTAGAAACCACTTGGTGGCTCCCACATCTCCGTTGCGATCGCGATTACTATCGACTTTTTTTAACCTGTCAGTAGGCGCGCGGTTCCACCACCGTTCTTGAGACGCGCGATTAGGGAATCGCTCATCGGCTTCTCGTATTACCTAATAGAGCCAAATAGCGCCATAGGCGGTGCTGTTCGGCGTTCTGCAGCACGAGCCCCACACCCGTAACACGTGGAAAATTTCGACCGTGCTGAAGAAAATATTATTTTTCTACTCAACCCTGACAATAGACAACTTTTATCACCACGAGAGTTAACTAGAAGAGTTACTTGAGGCATAAAAAAAATTTCAGCAAAAGATTTGCGCTTTTAGGGTATATTTCCTATGGAGTGAAAATTGTTGTGAGGTAATTGCTCATAGCGCGCCTAGTGACGGGTTAAAACAGACAATTGGATTTGTTATTTTTAGTGATTTCTTCAATTTCAATCAAATTTTTCAGAATTGAACATTTGATTTTGGAATTTTGATTCTTGACTATCTCTGAATCTATTCTCAATTTTTTTAATAGTTGACAGTTGCATTTTTTATTCTCTATTGTCTTTCAATCGACTCAATTTTTTTGAAAATTAAGAGTTGGATTTTTGATTCTCAATTGCCTCACAATCTACTCTCACCTTTTTTGGGAATTGAAAGTTGAATTTTTTTATTCATGAAAATATGATTTTTTATTCTTAATTCTCTCTCAATCTACTTGAAAATTTTTGTAAAAGTTGA